TAGTGATTTATTAATCTTATATTCATTAAAGTCTCTTATTTTGGATCTAACCTCATTAACAGTATGATATACGCCTTTCATTAAAAAATAAGAAAATTAAATTTGAATTGGTTCATTAATTTTCTGTATATTTTATAATGGAGTTTTTCAACAAAATAGTTTTTTGTTATTTATAAATTGTCACCAATTATGAATGTTTGTATTCTTCCACAAGAAAGAGCCTATATGTATTCAAATGAATAAATATAATATTAAATTATTTGTAGATTAATTAACTTAATTGCTAATCCTTTCAGTATAATTATTTTTAATAACACTTCCTATTAGATATGACATTGAAAAATAAGAAATATGTAGTATTAAATATTTAAGTTTGAAATATCCTTAATAATTGATTAAAAATTTATCTTACGAACATATTGATTGTAGATGCTTTATGGAAACTCTATCAGAAAGGGCATTATGAAACAACATAGAAATCTTATTTTTATGAATAAGTTCATAGATAAAAGTGATCTCTTTTAAAAAATTTTTGTGATTTAGATGAATCAGTTATGAAACTTAACAAAAATAAAGTAAATTAAAACAATTCTTGTCTTTATGGAAAAAGAGCATTCAATTAAGTTCATGTTTTACTATGCTTTTGAGAAAGAATGTTAACTATGATTAGATTGTATTAGTGAAAGTAAGGATATATTAGAGTATTTTGTAATTCAAAAGAGGAAAAGAATCTAGATTTTCTGAGCCTTTTCCAAGCAAATAAAATGTGGATTGCGAATATAAAGTGAAAAATAATAGATTTTAATATTGTCCATTAAATAGGTGTTAAAGATTGGAACTTATAATGGAATTTTTTTATTTTAATAACAAGTGAGAATTTCAATAACATTAGAATGTATGAAAATTAGTAAATATGATAGATCTAAAGTAAATTTAGATTTTGTTTGTTATTCTCATTAAATAACGTAGTTGAAGAAAAAATTAGTTATATCTTGGTCTAGGAACAATTAAATATATTGGCATTTCCCTATATTTGAAATATATGTCCTTAATCAAATTTTGAATAACATAAATATCTCGTAGAACAGAAGCACAATATTTGATTAAGCACTTAAACTCATATTAAGTGAAAGGGTTTAATTAAGGTTAATATCTAACAATATAAGGAACTAAGATTCTTACCAAATAACAGTATCAAACGATTCTATCATTAATCAAAAATATCATAAATTTAGATATCAAAATAGTAAATTTGATTTCATACTCTCTATTAAGATGAATGTCCACAATTATTCACAGTCTTATTTTAAGAAGAATTTTTGACTCAAAATATTGAGAGTTTGAGGAATAAGAATTTAGCGATGGTGGATAGATGATATGTGTGAAGAAAATGATTATTTTAAAAAAAGCTAGTTTTATGTTATTTATTTAAAATAATTTTATCAACATTAAGAATTGGACATTAAATTAAATTGATTATTTGAATAATCGTCCAATTTCATATTTAAACATTTTTTAAGATACATCATTAATGATAAAAAATCAATTCGAAAGACCTTTCAAAAAACCCTGTAAAACTGATAATTTCATTCAAATTTAGTAAAACAAAATTAGTACAATAAAACGTCGCTCTGTTCATAGTTAACGTTAGAATGCTTGATTTTTCTAACTAAAACTATAAATATAAATATAACACTTTTCCAAATATGATTTGTTTGAAGGCATTCGTCAAACAATTAGCATAAGATATTGGAAAATAACGCAATATGAAGTAAACTAAGCAACAGAGAGAAAAAAATTAATGAGTGAAAGGAGCTCAAAATGAATTAGATAAAATAAAATATTTAAGTCGTGCAGATTAATAAATTATCAAAATTATAGGGGTATATAATTTAATAACTGCTCATAATAAACCTTGTGTTGAAAAATTACCATAAACTCTAACTCTAAAGAAAGACTATAATGACATTAAAATAATAATAAGATAGCTCGGATCATAAGGAAAAATGGAACTTGAGAAACAGTATGAAAACTTAACACTTGACTAGTAAACGTAGCCAAGGAATTGAAACCTGAGCTGTAACTAATCGACTTGAGAGCACCCAGACACACATCAAGCAATGANTTCATTAATTTTCTGTATATTTTATAATGGAGTTTTTCAACAAAATAGTTTTTTGTTATTTATAAATTGTCACCAATTATGAATGTTTGTATTCTTCCACAAGAAAGAGCCTATATGTATTCAAATGAATAAATATAATATTAAATTATTTGTAGATTAATTAACTTAATTGCTAATCCTTTCAGTATAATTATTTTTAATAACACTTCCTATTAGATATGACATTGAAAAATAAGAAATATGTAGTATTAAATATTTAAGTTTGAAATATCCTTAATAATTGATTAAAAATTTATCTTACGAGGTGGTAAACATATTGATTGGAGATGCTTTATGGAAACTCTATCAGAAAGGGCATTATGAAACAACATAGAAATTTTTTTTTATGAATAAGTTCATAGATAAAAGTGATATCTTTTAAAAAAATTTTTTGATTTAGATGAATCATTTACGAAACTTAACAAAAATAAAGTAAATTAAAACAATTCTTGTCTTTATGGAAAAAGAGCATTCAATTAAGTTCATGTTTTACTATGCTTTTGAGAAAGAATGTTAACTATGATTAGATTGTATTAGTGAAAGTAAGGATATATTAGAGTATTTTGTAATTCAAAAGAGGAAAAGAATCTAGATTTTCTGAGCCTTTTCCAAGCAAATAAAATGTGGATTGCGAATATAAAGTGAAAAATAATAGATTTTAATATTGTCCATTAAATAGGTGTTAAAGATTGGAACTTATAATGGAATTTTTTTATTTTAATAACAAGTGAGAATTTCAATAACATTAGAATGTATGAAAATTAGTAAATATGATAGATCTAAAGTAAATTTAGATTTTGTTTGTTATTCTCATAAATAACGTAGTTGAAGAAAAAATTAGTTATATCTTGGTCTAGGAACAATTAAATATATTGGCATTTCCCTATATTTGAAATATATGTCCTTAATCAAATTTTGAATAACATTAATATCTCGTAGAACAGAAGCACAATATTTGATTAAGCACCTAAACTCATATTAAGTGAAAGGGTTTAATTAAGGTTAATATCTAACAATATAAGGAACTAAGATTCTTACCAAATAACAGTATCAAACGATTCTATCATTAATCAAAAATATCATAAATTTAGATATCAAAATAGTAAATTTGATTTCATACTCTCTATTAAGATGAATGTCCACAATTATTCACAGTCTTATTTTAAGAAGAATTTTTGACTCAAAATATTGAGAGTTTGAGGAATAAGAATTTAGCGATGGTGGATAGATGATATGTGTGAAGAAAATGATTATTTTAAAAAAAGCTAGTTTTATGTTATTTATTTAAAATAATTTTATCAACATTAAGAATTGGACATTAAATTAAATTGATTATTTGAATAATCGTCCAATTTCATATTTAAACATTTTTTAAGATACATCATTAATGATAAAAAATCAATTCGAAAGACCTTTCAAAAAACCCTGTAAAACTGATAATTTCATTCAAATTTAGTAAAACAAAATTAGTACAATAAAACGTCGCTCTGTTCATAGTTAACGTTAGAATGCTTGATTTTTCTAACTAAAACTATAAATATAAATATAACACTTTTCCAAATATGATTTGTTTGAAGGCATTCGTCAAACAATTAGCATAAGATATTGGAAAATAACGCAATATGAAGTAAACTAAGCAACAGAGAGAAAAAAATTAATGAGTGAAAGGAGCTCAAAATGAATTAGATAAAATAAAATATTTAAGTCGTGCAGATTAATAAATTATCAAAATTATAGGGGTATATAATTTAATAACTGCTCATAATAAACCTTGTGTTGAAAAATTACCATAAACTCTAACTCTAAAGAAAGACTATAATGACATTAAAATAATAATAAGATAGCTCGGATCATAAGGAAAAATGGAACTTGAGAAACAGTATGAAAACTTAACACTTGACTAGTAAACGTAGCCAAGGAATTGAAACCTGAGCTGTAACTAATCGACTTGAGAGCACCCAGACACACATCAAGCAATGAAGAATTTAAATATAAATTCTTAGAAATTGAGAGAAATAATAAAAAAGGATTTTATAAATTCATTGAATGCACTACTTAGATTAAGAATGATAAAGAGGGGAGTATAATAAATATCCTCGAAGAAAATCATCGATACAAGAAATAATACACCTCTTGTATTACCATTCTAAAAATTTCCTAGAATCCTAATTTAGATGCTTAAGGAGCTTTATTTTTGAAAGGAGAGCTTGTTGATTAGAGAGGATATGATTTACTATCATTAGTTTAATTTTTAGAGAAATAGAAACAAAATTGATGTTTATTAAAAGACCATTTAAAAATATACAATATTAATTTTAAGATTTGGTTATTAATTGTGAATGTTGATTTAACTAATTGTTCTGATCATTATTCTATTTTATAAAATATAAAAATAATATCTATACATTTAACCTTTTAGAAATCATATTTATATCTGTCAAAAGTGAAGGTAGTTTTAAACATAAACTTGATTAAGTTCAAACTTTGCTTTTAAAAAAATCTAATTTAGAAAAATGTTTTATTCTTTAGACTTGACATAAATCCTAAAGTTTAACCTTTTTTGTGAGATTAAGTAATTTGATTTGTTAAGATTTCCCTTTTAAATACACATCAATTATAAAATCTACAACTTTTATATATCTTCCAACCAATTTGTGGTTTGGATTATAAAACTCAAAATAAAGTAATAGAAATTCAATATAATTTATAACAAAAGTAAATGACTTTGGAAAAATAATAGGTTGGAGATTTGTATGGAGTTTTGGCTTAAACTAAAGATAATGATCACATAGTCTTACAAATCTTAATTAAAATTTTCGAAAAAGATAAAGTTTAAGACCATGTAGAATTTCTCTCTAAAGATCTAAATCTAAGGCAAATAAAAAAAGAAATATCATAGGCAAAATACTAATCACTATTTGATAAGAAATAGATAATCAATATTGATAAAAATGCCATTTAGAGAATAAAGGATGTTCTCAATAAAATTATGGATCATGAATTTAATAAACAGAATTACTCGATAGATGATTATTAAGGAATTAAAAAGGATCTCATTATAAAAATATCATGGGATAAGAAAATCATAGAATTTCTCAAATTTTTAGTTCATCTAACTGCTTTGGATAGGAGATATATTTAGTGTGGATCAAATTCTCTTCATTTGCTAGTCTGGATGAAAATTGATTTGAGGGAATAAAATTTTGAGAATATCAGGATTAGAGATACCTCATTAGTTGGGGGAAATTTTGTACGATGCATATTCAATGGATCAGAATTTGACAATGTAGATATAAGTGGAATGAACTTGAATTAATCTTAAATGGTTTGTTGTAAATGGCAAAATATCAAAATTCATGAGTTAAATATATTAGATGCTCATGGGGAAAGTATCAATTAGGTATGCTTTTCTCCAGATGGTAAGTCATTAGCTTCTTGTAGTGATGATAATTCGATAATATTGTTGGATGTTAAAACAGGAAAAATTAAGTCTAGAATCAAGGAAAAGGAAGAAGTAAAATCAGTATGCTTCTCACCAAATAATAATACATTAATTTTCAGCTAAGGAGAATTTGTGTATTTATGGAATCTTTAAACAAGCAAATAACAAGCCAAATTAGATGGTCATTCAAATTTTGTTAATTCAATTTGTTACTCTTTTGATGGTACTACATTAGCATCTGGTAGTTCTGATAACTCTATCCGTTTATGGGATGTTAAGACAAGATAATAAAAAGCAAAATTAGATGGACATTCAAGTGCGGTTTATTCAATTTGTTACTCTCCTGATCGTACTACATTAGCATCTGGTAGTGATGATAACTATATCCGTTTATGGGATGCTAAAACAGGATAATAAAAAGCCAAATTAGATGGTCATTCTGGAACAGTGTATTCAATTTGTTACTCTCCTGATTGTACTACATTAGCATCTGGTAGTGAGGATAAGTCTATCCGTTTATGGGATGCTAAAACAGGATAATAAAAAGCCAAATTGGATGGTCATTCAGGTTATGTTAAATCAGTCAATTTCTCTCCCGATGGTACTACATTAGCATCTGGTAGTTCTGATCACTCTATCCGTTTATGGGATGTTAAGACAGGATAATAAAAAGCAAAATTAGATGGTCATTACTCAACAGTTAATTCAATTTGTTACTCGCCTGATGGTACTACATTAGCATCTGGTAGTGATGATGAGTCTAACCGTTTATGGGATATTAAGACAGGATAATAAAAAGCCAAATTAGATGGTCATTCATCATAAGTTTTTTCAATTTGTTACTCTCCTGATGGTACTACATTAGCATCTGGTAGTGAGGATAACTCTATCCGTTTATGGGATGCTAAAACAGGATAATAAAAAGCCAAATTAGATGGTCATTCTGGAACAGTGTATTCAATTTGTTACTCTCCTGATTGTACTACATTAGCATCTGGTAGTGAGGATAAGTCTATCCGTTTATGGGATGTTAAGACAGGATAATAAAAAGCAAAATTAGATGGTCATTACTCAACAGTTAATAAAATTTGTTACTCTCCTGATGGTACAACATTAGTATCTGGTAGTAGAGATAACTCTATTCGCTTATGGGATGTTAAGACAGGATAATAAAAAGCCAGATTAGAAGGTAATACTTCAATATTTAATTCAATTTGTTACTCTCCTGATGGTACTACATTAGCATATCGTAGTAGAGATACCTCTATCCGTTTATGGGATGTTAAGACAGGATAATAAAAAGCCAAATTAGGTGGTCATTCAGTTTGGGTTAATTCAATTTGTTACTCTCCTGATGGTACTACATTAGTATCTGATAGTTCTGATAACTCTATCCGTTTATGGGATGTTAAGACAGGATAATAAAAAGCCAAATTAGATGGTCATTCATCATAAGTTTTTTCAATTTGTTACTCTCCTGATGGTACTACATTAGCATCTGGTAGTGCAGATAACTCTATCCGTTTATGGGATGTTAAGACAGGATAATAAAAAGCCAAATTAGATGGTCACTCTAATACAGTTAATTCAATTTGTTACTCTCCTGATGGTACTACATTAGCATCTGGTAGTGCAGATAACTCTATCCGTTTATGGGATGTTAAGACAGGATAATAAAAAGCCAAATTAGATGGTCACTCTAATACAGTTAATTCAATTTGTTACTCTCCTGATGGTACTACATTAGCATCTGGTAGTGCAGATAACTCTATCCGTTTATGGGATGTTAAGACAGGATAATAAAAAGCCAAATTAGATGGTCACTCTAATACAGTTAATTCAATTTGTTACTCTCCTGATGGTACTACATTAGCATCTGGTAGTGCAGATAACTCTATCCGTTTATGGGATGTTAAGACAGGATAATAAAAAGCCAAATTAGATGGTCACTCTAATACAGTTAATTCAATTTGTTACTCTCCTGATGGTACTACATTAGCATCTGGTAGTGCAGATAACTCTATCCGTTTATGGGATGTTAAGACAGGATAATAAAAAGCCAAATTAGATGGTCACTCTAATACAGTTAATTCAATTTGTTACTCTCCTGATGGTACTACATTAGCATCTGGTAGTGCAGATAACTCTATCCGTTTATGGGATGTTAAGACAGGATAATAAAAAGCCAAATTAGATGGTCATTCTAATACAGTTTATTCAATTTGTTACTCTCCTGATGGTACTACATTAGCATCTGGTAGTGCAGATAAGTCTATCCGTTTATGGGATGTTAAGACAGGTTAATAAAAAGCCAAATTAGTTGGTCATACACTTGAAGTTTTTTCAATTTGTTACTCTCCTGATGGTACTACATTAGCATCTGGTAGTTAAGATTTGTCTATCCGTTTATGGGATGTTAAGACAGCACAAGAGTTTCTACCTTAAGCTAATTGTTACCAAGACCTTCTTACTTAGTTTAAATTACCACTTGAAATTCAGCCAATTTTTAACAATAGTATTTATTAATATTATTCTTTAGCTGAGATCGATCGTACAATACTACGAATATGTTAAAATCCACTTTTGGAAGCTTCAGGAGCTTTTATTTTGAAAGGAGTAATTGAAAATTATTCAGGTTATGATTTAAGACCCTTATTCAAATCGAAAGACAGATTGATTATAGAAAACTTTAAAGAATAGGAATAAGATTGATTTATTTTAAAAAAATATCATAAATAATTTAAAAGAATCTTTGAATAAATTTAATCGCTTTCTTTATTAAAGTTATTATTATATTTCTCTTTGATCTGTGAATAAAAAGCATTTGAAGCATAGAGAAATTTTACATCCTAAACAGTCATATTTGATTTCATGATTGAACATGAAATATTTATAGTATCTACAGCTGAATTTAAACTAAAAGCAAACAGAAATAAAAGATATTATTAGGTAAGATAACTTATAAATGAGTCCATCATTTTTAAAGTTTAATTGTCTATTCTTAAACCATTTCACTTAAATGAATAAATCTTAAAATTTTCTAACTTCGTGTTTAATTGTTTTTCAAGAATATTTTCCAACATCAAAAAAAATTATAGTATAAAGTAATTGAAACAAAATTATTTCAATTTAAAATGATGAATATATATTTTTTATCACAATGTAAACATTCTTCATTTAGCGAAAACAAAAAAAGATATTTGAGGATAATTTTATTTAATTAACAAGACCCAAAAACCAAAAATGGTATCTTCTTGAGTTCAGTTCGAAGAATAAAAGGCCTAGTTCAAAAAGGTTAGTTTTTTCTTATATTATTTCATTTTCCTTAAATCGAATTTCAGGGGCATTTTAGGGAAATTTGGAAATTTGCAAAATCAGGGAGGTTCCTACATCCAAAATATAGAAGGGGTTTTCCTAAGACCGTTTATTGGATGCTAAGACAGGATAACAAATCTTATCTTCAGATAATTGAATTTAGATATTTAAACTTAAGATTTCAACGATTTACTATTCTTTCAGAAAGTGGTATCATATTTTCACTATTCTTTAATTTAATTCAGAAATTTCAAGATCATTAATCTCGAAAGGAGAAATTGTAAATTTGAAGTCATTATTCTAGTACAAAGGAAGTTTCCAATTAGAAAACTATTTAGAATAGAAATATAATTAATATTATGTCTATGTATTAAAAATGCTAAGAATCTTCATGAGTTGGCCATAGATATTCTTAAACTTGAAATTAATACTTCCTTTAGTTGATCTTATCCTTAAATATAAAATTACATAATGACTTTGAAGTTACTAACTGTATTATTGTAATCCACTTTTAAAGTTAATAGTGATTGTGCACAAAAGATTCATGTACGAAATGTACACCTGCATATTATTCAAATACTATTGCTGTTTTTTGAAAATAATTTGCTAAAACCACCCTTCAATTATTATTGACGCAGCTGCTTATCTATAATTTTAGTGAATTGTTTTTCTTCATTGTTGCAATTTATATTAATTATGTTCAATTGTAACGATATCAATTGTCTAGAATCAGAAGTCTTATAACAAGCATATCTTGTATAACTAATTGGATCGAAATTGAAGCACTTCTTCAGCAATATGGAAAAATATCTAATAATTTAATCAACATTGAGTTATGATAAATTCAGCATTTTTCCTTTTAATCACTACATTACAAGTGATATTTGATTAAATCATTTTGATTATTCAACTTGAACTTATTGTGCTTATTTGGTCCTTCTTAAATTAAAGGGCACTATTATCAACTGTGTTAAAGGATATATCATCTGAAAATATATTTTGCATGAAACAAAGCTAATGGTGTCTACACAGAATGTTGTTACTCCTAGTTTGAACATCTATTACTTAAGGGATGAGGTGGTTGTCAACAATTTTCTATCTGAGTTTGTGTGCTTAGTCATCAACACTAGATCTAGCTATTGTGTTGCTTATTCTGTATTACATATTCTTTAGTATTTTCTCTTGCACAACGTAGCAGTCTGTCTAAAGTATTTCATAATTATTATCACTAAAATAGTCTGATAAAATATTTTATATCTTTGTAAATGAATAATTAAACAACAGCATTACATTCTAGCCGTTGTCTCCTTAATGTCTTCGTAATCAAGAAGATTATGAACCCTAATCGACAATCTGCAAAGCTAGAACATCATGGATCTCATATGTTCAGTTTATACTAATATTTGTATAGTTTGTATTAAGTGATTCTAATATCTAAAGATGCTAAAATTACGATTAATCAGCATTATTTCAAAACATATCTTGGTATATTTGTGAGACCTTCTCAAATACTTTTGTCCTTCATGCTAGAGTTTGCCTACTGAGTCACCGAAAATCATTATTTAAGTTTAGATCATCATTGGTCTTAAATGTTGGTAACACCAACTGCCATCTATTTCTAAGTAACCTTATATTATACATTTGCTCATTGCTACCCATCCTTGTGATTAAGTTAGTAAAAGTAGTGATTTAGAAGAAGGCTTAGTAGTAATGGTGCCTTCAGCTCGCTCAAATTGGATGTATACATATAAATTCATCCTAATAAATATAATCCATGTTGCCAATGCCATTTGCAGATCATCTTGAATCTCTTAAGTGTAGACTTTTTGTTCTAGTAATTTTATTTATTGAGTTGCATCAAGCTAAATTTAATGGCCAGTCTTTAAAGGGGCAATTTTCCACTCTCTATTATAAATTGAAAAGCTGATCTTAAACTACAGGAAAAATTATACTGCTCACCATGCTCCGTAGTAACGAAATACTATTGTAGCAACAAGATAAACGATATTCTGACAGCACCCATCTATTTCATTTCTTTAGTATTTGGGTCTAAAATCTTATTATAAATGGCCACCTCATCGATGCTTCATTTATCAGTATCTACCATTTGTGATAGTAAAATTATCCAAATTCTGCTGTAAATATGGTTGACTTCATATCCTCTTAAGCTAATGTCTCTAAATGTAATAATTACTTCAGAATTGTGATCTCATTCGATTGCAAATATCTTGTTCTCTATAATTTAGCTAATTAGAAATTACACAATTCAGTATGCTATCAAGGTAAATTAATATTTTTCAGTATTCTAATCATGTATTGGTAAAATTGTAAATCTTACATAGCTTCAAACTGATTATTATATCTCAGAGTCTATGCATTTTACACAGCTTGTAAAGTAGGTGTTAACAAGCTATTCCTCTTGTGGTGGATACTATTAAAATAAGGTAACCAGTAATAAATATTGTGACTCATTAGCATACTTATCCCATTTTTTTCCTTGATATCACCCTATCCTTTGGATCCTTCCTTTTAATGATGTAGAGTTTACGAATTTCAAATGAATATATATATATTATATATTACAATGCTGGTGACTATTGGTATTATATGTTAGATTATTAGAGAACAGATCCTAAATGTTACTTTGTAAATACTTTTGTATTATGTGTTTCTTGTAATAGCTACCAAAATCTTGTTCGCCTCTGCTACAGAGTGAGGCAATCAAAAATTTCCTAAATGAACTTCTAGCCTCGATAAATGCATGGAACTAAATTAGAAGTATGGCTAGTTATTTTTCTATTCACTAGGCTTAAATTCCTACTCTAACATATTTGACTTCAAACTCAAAGTGATAAATTTTTCGCTCTTAGAGGAATTACAAAAAAATTTTTAAGTCCAACCTTTAACTTGGTCAATCAATGCTCTAGTCTTAAATTTCAGGTAAAATTTAAAAGTTAATAAATAATATCAACTATATTTTAATGCAAAAATGCCTAATTGTTTAAGATGATTGTATGTTTGTTCCAATATAGATCCTCCATTATTAATAAAATATTGCTATTTTAATAACTTAGAAAATGTTGTGTTTTTATCCTTTAGCGACATTAAACGACTTATAATTTGGTTGCTATTGCTCTGACACATCTTCACTCTAATTATTGCTGGCTTCTGATACTATTTTTTCTATAATTTTGCGGTCATTTGAGAAATATTAAAATTGCTTAGATGTTATAATTAGATTCAACGTTGAAGAATAGTTTGGACCATAATTTCATCGAACTTAATCACAATCCTAACAAACCATAGTTTATAAATACATAGGTCAATGTTTTGTCGATATTTCCGTATATTATTTCTAATGTGGGTCTTAAATTGTCCCTATGTGACAGGAGTTACTGATGGTGTCAGATAATGCATGTTCTGCTTGCACTGGCAACAATAGCCAAACTTATTTTGATAGCCTATGATTATTATAATCTCTTAGATGAATAAATTTAATGCGCAAGTAATGATTCAGGGTATAATTTTAAAGTATAGCAACCGATTTTGCACATGCTAAATCTACTGAGTTTTATAAAGATGCCTAACTCAATATCAACTAATCCTTGTGACACAACTATATATTCTGGAACTCTCCTTGTAAATATTATGATGCATCATTCATTCATCATGTTCTTAGTAGTTGTGCTATTTTTCAAATAAAACAGCTACCTAGATGTAGAGTACTGCTAAGCTCGAATAGAAGTGCTGAACCATAATGGAATTTCATCTACACTAATTCTTTGTCCTCGTTTGTATATTGAGGTAAATTTATAAAGGGTTTTATGATGCCTCTTTTTAGCTTCTTGAAAGAAGTATATTAAATGCTCAATCATCTGATTGCACAGTTGAAGATTTGTAACTTTGAAGTTGTGTACTCATAGCTGCTATTGGTTTTTTATATCAAATAGATTTAACCCTTCCACTTATTAAACTTAGTTATAAATTCGATAGTAATAATAATTCAGAGAATCTAACACTATGTTAGTGGTGCTTGCTGCTTGAATTACTTGATGAACCTATACCAAAAAATGGTTTAGTCCCGGGAAGTTTCAATGATTGCTCTTGTGATTAATGCAGTCTTCTCTTTACTGTTTATACCATCTCAGCTGATGCAAATGTAGTTGGTAACTTGGTTTTATTTTATTCAACTTGAAATGCTCTGCCATTGATAAAATGTAAAAGTCAATGCTTAATATAAGAATATTCAGCTGGTGTATTAGGCTTTATTATGATTGTTGTTAGACTCCTTCTTAAATTCTATAAATTGTCCTAATCAATTTGCTGTCTAAAAAAAACTGTCATCACGCATATATTTTTTGCAAAAAATATAAAGTTTAGTGTGCATATTGTATTTAGGAAGTTTTGATATTCGCTTCATCTCAACTTTAAATTATGTGTCTTGCTTCGCTGTATGCACCTGAGATTATAAACTTATTTTTGAGTTCCAGTATTATGTCCTTACAAAAAATTTTCAGCATGACTTAGCTTAACTACCTTAACCAAAGTCATGTGGTCGCTATTCGTACAGTTCTCGTGCTCCATCAATACCATCATACTTTACGCAGTATTTTCTGGTACTTCTTCAACTTAAGCTTGCATTTGATTCATTTTAAACTTAGCTTAGTTAAATAATGATGTTAACCTTTAACAGGATCAAGATATTTATCCATAATACTCTTTGTAATTAATTTTGTATTCTTTTGACTGTTTACGGTATCGTAGCTGACGAATGTTCTTTTTTAAGTGTTTTTTTTTTTGCAATAATTTCTTTTGCATTTGATAAACTATTAGAAGCTCTGGATCTGCTGTGAATTGCATGACATTGGACGAACTTAAACTCATCCTTTAAGTTTAACTTGAAATTTCATGCTTAATTTTTAACATTTCGCTGCTGTATCAGACATTCTTTAGATATTTATTTTATATTACCTCTCTAAATCTGCTGGTATTCAATCATGTGTTTCTTTACCTATGTAATAATTGTGTTCCAGGATCTGTTTTCTAGCACATATTGTTGACTTGCTTGTAGGTATGATAATGATAGTTACCCCACTATTAAGAATTGTTGATCATTAAACTAATATATGTGGCAGAGTTCATAAATTATGTATACTTGTATTAATTCTGTTAACTCGCTTTTTATACTTATGGTCTTTATTCCAATAGAGCAGAGCAATAGGCACTAATTTAAAGATAATCATTTGTCAGAAAATTAATAGTGTGTTAGAGATTAGCGTTCAATCTGATTTTGGCTACAAAGATCTATATTCTATTTTTTCTAATACAATCTAGATGTTCGAATTAATTCTCTGATTTTGAAGTACATAAATCATGCCAATAGATGCCTCACCCTTAATGCGTTGTATTCTTTTTGAAAGGATTTTTATTGAAATTCAATTTTCTTTTCTGTATTTAATTGCTTACAAGGACGATGCCAATAATTTTGCTCAGACATCGAGCTTATCCTCTATTTCCAATTTTAGCCTATCTTTTGTACATTAAACCCGAAAATTCCTAATGAAAAATTATTTCTGATTTCCTATTAAATTTATCTTTTGAGGCACTATTCATCCACTTTTGCTCAACCTTATATTTATACTTAGAATAAAGGTTGTACCTTTTAAAGAATCTGATTTAATTGTGCATCACCTTCCTCATAAACATTTTATCACTACTTATTTAATGCTCGCCTCGATATACCTTTTATGATCCTATTTTAATATACTTTGCAAACTAGTGCAACTTTGAGCACATTTTATATTTTTTAGGAATTGTTATTGTACTTCTGCAATGAATTATTCCATGAAGTTTTATGTGTTGAAAGCACGAATTTTATAATGTTAACTTCATTTTATACACTTACATTGATATGCAAATTAAGATTCTGCTTATATTACTACACGTCATCTTTCTTTGTATTCCACTGAAAAAATGCACTTTTTAACGCTTCTGTTTATGATATCACAAATGTTTCATGCTGCTGTTGTAAATTTTTGTGTTATTCACGATTAATTTTTTTAATACCTAAATAAGTTTTATGCTTAACTTAGTTATTCTAGTATATACATAAAATTGCAAACACAACTTTATTAACTCACTAACTTATGGGTATCTTTTATTTCAGAGACGGTCAGCCTATCTCACCAAAAATTATTACTAGAACTTATAACTTGAATGGTTCTTGCAACAAGTGAATTAATTTTTAAACCATCCATAAAGTCTGTTGATCCTATTAATCTTCTAATCTTTTTCTTTTCCAGTATTAGCAGGTGTTTCACTGGATTTCTTGTGCTAGAATGATTTTCAAAACTTATAAATCAGTATTAGTTATTATTGGTAATGTATGATGAATTTCCTTCTTCACATTAAAGAATCAATCTATTTCAAATGATGCACTGCATGTAAGATGTTTTTAGTTTGAACCAGTCCTGCAAGCATCATCCATCTCCTGAATGTTAATTGCCTTCATTATTAATGCTATCATTGGTGATGCACCTAGTGACTCTTACGCTTATTATATTAGGCTTATGAAAAAATATCTAAAACATTTCTACTTCCGCAAGTTGTAGAGATTCTTATATAAATTGTAAATTGTGAGCATCTCTTCCTTTTTCGTGGATTTTATTTACATTGGGCCGAGTTTGCGAAAAGCAAAAGATGCCCATCAAAAAGAATAGATTTTAGTTTAGCAGGCTCATATGTTCAGATGAGCTAATCGTGCTTGCAAAATTGTCATTAGAGGTTAGAGCATTTCTCTAACAACTCAAGTTTTTAATGTCTTTACTACCCATCTCTTTAAATTATTTAGTCGTGCTTTTTTTTTATGCTATCACATAACCAGCATATTTCTGAGTGGTTCTCAAAATGCAATGATAATATTTTGTAATTGCATTAACTATTTAGTTAAATCTTTCTAAAGTTTATTATTTAAATATTAGAAAATCGTAGGAACTCATTATAGTCCTCAGTAAATTCACCATCTGTTTTTTTTTGTAACTCTTTTTATTAATTATAGAGTTTTTGTGTTGTTTGTGCTATTGCAAGCCAATGCATTTAGTGGCTGTTGTTTGGGCCCAGTTTTAACAAATTCAAACTTTGAAATATGACATTTGAAAGTGTTTCAGATCTAGTGATTTGAAGAAGGAATCTGCTGAATTATATGAAAATGTGTATCCACTGACTCTGCTCTAAAAATTAAATTATGTACTCAGATTGCTAATGTAAAATGTAAACAAATAAGCATAAAAAATATGAACATGCTGACTCAGTTGACAACTGTACAGTTTTTTTCGATGTAGTTATCGTTATATCTAGCTCTTCCTAATGTGTTTAATATACAACTCTAAGCTTATCATGTAAATATTTAACATGCTGCTTCAGGTATAGCTTCAAACATTTCTAGAAATTTTTATCCATCTCCCAAGAGTCTGTTTTTTGTAGTCCGCATTATTTGATCATTTATTATGCATTAGACCACAGTGTTCCACTATTTCCTAAAATCTGATCCTTTTAAAATAACTCTTATCAACTGCATTGATATCCTGTCTTGATCGCACCTACTTATCATTTACATAAATGCTAAGAAAATTCAACCAATTTTGTTGAACACTCTAAGATGAAAATTTATATTTAGTTGTATTGATGAATTCCTATGTGCCACATTGAAACATTTGGTTGAAATAAAGCAGTCGATGTACCCAAAAATTTAACTAAATGTACTCATTGACTAGGTGCCCTAAGAAATATAAACAATTGCTCCAGGCTAATTTCCTTAAATTGACTCAACCAATTCAACTTGCACAAGGTTAGTTAAATTTTAATATAGGGATTAAAAAATACTAAATGATTTATAAGTTTGCTAGAGATCAGGAAGAATATTAAATTTGGAGTTTTATTATTTTGTGATCTGCTATCGAAATACACCAGGTATATTGATATTTCCATATTTAATTCACTCAAGGAATACTATTTGTAAATCATGTAATGATGCATATTTTTTACATATGATAATTAACATATTCTTTTGTTCTAAATATTTTTTCAATACACCATGATCCTCTACCAGAAAGATCACCTGCCAAATATTAATAATAATAGCAATAAATAAAAATATAATGTTATGATAATCAAAGTTTATTAAATATCACTGTTGTAATAATGCATGCTGGTCATGCCCACTCTCTCTTACTAAATACTCTCCCTCTGATTGTAGATTTTGCTAAACCTTATAATTGTTATTTCAGCAACTAAATTTTCTGATTGTTATGTTTAAGCTAATCCAACTTAAATGCAAAATGATAGCACTTAATATCCAGCGCCATAAGCTGTCTGTGACTATTAAATTTGCATTATAGGATTGTTTTAAAACTGTAAAAGGCACTCAATGTTTAATAGTGACTAAAACTAGTAAAAATGTACAAAACTTGAATTACTGCAAATTTTGCAAATATTATAACAGACTCTAATTAATACAAGAGAGAGCTATAGTTTTTAGTATCAAGATTTTAGTGTGATTATAAATTCAAATAATTATAATAATTTGAAAGAGGTTAAATCATAAAAATAATAGTTAATTAAATATTTTTCGTTTTAATATGACATGAATATCTAATTGACAGATGTACAAAGCAATAAATTGAATATTTTAAATATAAAAGCAATTTCCCATTTATATGATTATTATCATCAGTCACTGTATTTTATAATTTTAACTGCATTTATTTTACAAATTTATTCATCAAATTAACAAAGTCTTAGGCTTTTGATATTTAGTCTTATCTTAAGTTTTAATGTTAAGTAAAGCAAATTTCAATAAACAAAAACGTTGCCAATTGATTTTTCAAATGAAATAAATACAATTTTCAGTATAATTGAATCATTTATTAAATTATGGTGTAAGAGCAACAAAATTAAGATCCTTTGAATATTAAATTTAGCCTAGTTATTTATTATTATCACAAGTAAAGCAACTATATCTATGCTTTCAGCTCTAATTGTTATCAGTAATGCAGGATAACATATGAGATTGCCGAATAACATAGGTAAGGATAAGTAATATTTTAAATTTTAAGCGCCTTACGCTATTAATATTATGAGTTTAATCTTAATTTGCAGAAATGCTATACAGTAACTACTTTTAATATATATAACTAATCAATTAAGTATTCAATTGGTTAATCATAGTAGTCAGAGATGGAGCTATGAAAATGTCTCTGCTATTTAACAAACTCTTCTCAAAGAGGCTATTATTAATTCAACTATAGAAGGATTAATAAGTTCGCAGGAGAAACAGTTTTTATATATGTAAACACTAGCTGCACTTTTGATAAATGCTGGTAACAAAATATAAAATAAGATGCAGTAGTATCCTTAATAACAAGTGGAAGAATCTGAACATATTAGGGAATGCCATATATTTGAATACTCAAAACTTTTGCATCCAGTTTCGCATGTTGTCTTGATTTGTAGAGGAGGTGGCAACAAGATTGTGATTTAACGCTTTCTAACGCCGCTTCTATTTCACTAGTATCAGAAGTCTAGAAGTGATATAAGGAGGAGTGCTATTTGGAAGAAAAACATCAAAAGAATACTTTCTGTCTGGGCTAAAAGTGAACTATAGACTCAAATTCAATTACAAGTGACTATGTTAACTAATTTGCTTTTTCTTTCTGAATTCTAAGGTGAACCCTTTATAAATACAAATCAGGGAAAAAGGAATCATTTATCATAACCAGTTTGTGTACATCGCTGACAGGATATCAAGGTATGTGAACAGTCTATTATTCATATTGAGATAGTTTTAGTACTAGTTAGAACAAGGTTGTCATTTACCGAGGCTGAAGTGGTATATAAATGGCATTATTTGTATAACAATTTTGGTTTGCTTTAAAAAGTAACTTAATCAAAATGAGATAATCACTGTTCTGCGTGAAAATACCAATCTTTCTAAGATCATGTCTTAAATGTAGTACACTTATACTTTAAAAAAAGATTTGAAATAAAATATTTTCATTTATTCCTGTGATCTAAAATATTACAGGATTTTATAATACTATTAATCACACCCTCCATGCACCTATAATGTTGAAATTCTTCTTGCA